CCAATTAGTAACGTTGACAAAGACAAAGAACAGAAGCTAACTGGAGGGTATAAATACACGGTAGCAATGAGGGACAGGTGAGACTCTAACCAATTACTCAATGAAACAATGAATAACTATGGCAACCAAGGAAACAGGAACTAAACACACTGGAACTGAACACAAAGTAAGACAAAATAATATACAAATAAAAGTCCATGGACCCAGACACGTGAAATTTGTGGAAAAAAAAATGGGCCAAGCCCAAAATGGCTAAACAATAAGCTTTTAATTGTCTTAACCACAAATTATTCAAACTAGCCTATATAGAATCCTTTCTTCTAAGAGTGTACAAGGCAGAACTGGAACTATTTGTTTATATATATATATATATATATATATATATATATTAAAGCTAGAGTTTAAAACCCTATCAGTGACTGTCGTCAGGTCTCAATCTTGTTACCTAAGATGCTAGTAAAAGCGATTAGATGGTTAATTTACAAATCCAGCATGCTTCTTTTAATGAAAAGGGATGATGCCATGCATTGATGGCATGACAGGGTTTTAAATGGCATTTAAAGGGCGATCCAGGCCTGTTCCGGGGGAGAGAAAGATAAGTGCTGCTTGTGCTCTACAAAATGACAAACACATACACTCTCTCACACACACACACACACACACACACACACACACATCCAGTTTATCTGCGTGCCGGGTCCCTAGTCAAGCTCACTGTGCCGCTCAGCGCCACATCATACACAGACAAAAACAATTAGCATTTAATTTGATGCTTGAGCAAGAAAACAAGGGATGAGTGACACACCATGTCTCGGCTCTCATCCAAAAATCGTCCCATTTTTAAAAACGAGGATGCAGCGTCACACACCAGGAATCCCTCTTAGAGCGAGAACGCCATCGCGCTGCAGGAATCGGCTCTTCCGCCGGTGCACAACAGCGCATGACTGTCAATTTAAAGCTGCAAATTCGGCACCTGAACAGATGCAAAAGTTGAAACAGAGCGAGAAACACTTAACCAGCCCTGCTGCATCCTTAACTGTAAATGTCATGTTTACCCACAACAACATTTCATCCCCTGAGGGGACAAGTAGATACTGTGGTTAATTATTTGTAAACATTTAATTGGCATTTACACCCGAGAGAATTGCTCCGTTCACCCCAGCAGGACACTTGCACATCCTCATCAAGCATTAATCAAGCAAGCTAAATGAGGCCTACCCACGATTCCTTGCTCAGTGCTATCGAGACAGGGGGGGATGCTGGATTGTTATTCGGCGATGCAGCTTGACGAAAACAGAACGATTCATTTACTGTATGTATGCTCTAGATTAACAGATCACCCAAGATATTTTCAGTCGAGATTAGCAGATCACCCAAGAAGCTTTGAGTTGGGTCATCTTTGGTCATTACAGTTTTTCTGAACTGCTAAAAACACATTTCTTGAAACCATCACTCACTTTCTCAAAACCTTAAACACAAAACCAAATTTCCAAACCACATTTAGAGAACCTCTGTCAAAATCAAACAATTGCCTCAAAACCATTTTATCTGTGCTCAAAGTCTAACAATACTTTCAGATCATACACACAGAAAGTCAATTTTACAAGCACTACAGATCATTCGTTAGACACTACATCAAAAAATGGAGAACGGAGAATCCAAAGCATGCAGTTACAGAAAAAATTACGTAAAAAAGTATAGTAATGACAACTTACAGAGGTAAGGTGAATAAATTGTATACTGTATGCACTTGCAAGTATAGTATTGAATATTGTAGGGCTATCGAATGTCTGTATATTTAGCACTTGTCCCAACTGCAAAAGCCCAAAAGGTTACAGTAAAAATTTCAAAAGGAAAAGCATGTTACAGTAAACTCAGAAAAGTTGTGCAACTGCAAAATCAAGGTCAGTGAGAGAGATTCATTCTGTTTCAGCATCATCTCTTCATGTTGGGTCTGGCCTGAGGACTTTGTCCACATTACTGACAATGTCATCTCTGCAGGCAAAGGGAAAACCCCTAAAGCCAGTTCCAGCCTTGAAAATATTCTCCTTGCTCTTTCTCGTCCTCATCCTCCTTGTTCACCACCTTTTATACACATACTCTTCCTCCTCTCCCTCTTATATCATTTCCATCCATTGTTGGTATCAACATTCAGTGCAACATTTTGAGTCAGTTTTGGCACTCTGATATTATGCACAGTTGGTTGGTCACATCATTAGAAAAAAGTGTCAACAATTTTGAGTCGTTGTGTGTAAACGATGACAACTGTGTTGTAGTTGCGTTTAACTTTTTGCCTGCCTGTGTTTAGCGTTTTGAAACATAAGTGCATCACAGTGCAAAATGTGTTTTAGTGAGTGAGAATGTGCTTAGAGTTTTGCATGAAATTGTGCAAACAGTGTTTTAACTACCTGAACTTGTTTAATGTTTTGCAGAAAGAGTGATTTATTCGACAAATTGGTTTAGGCTATTGAGAATTTGGTTCAGGGAATGGGGTTTAGCGTGTTAGCAATTCGGAAAATGACTCAATCATTACAAACATAGCAGCTGTTTTCTAGAACAAAACCAATTGATTCTCTTCACTCAAGCACCAGCAAATACATAAAGATAACCATAGATCTGATGAAAAGGTTTTAAGCAACAGTTTAAGTAAGCAGTTTAAGCAACCTACACAAGGATCAAACTAAAACTGGTGGTGACGAAAGCTTTCTCACATGGGGTTGGTCATCGTTAATGAAGTAAAAGATCAGAACAGGACTAATTGCAATTACACTGATTAGTGTAAAGATCAGAACTGGACTAATTACAAGGGTTATCGTCAGGTCATCTCTATACATTGGTTCTAGTTGCAGATTAGCTCTCTGGAGGAAGCCAGGGAGCAAAATACATGCTTGAATTATACAGTAGTTGGACAAACGACTGGGCAACAAGATGAGTGTCTTTCTCAAGAAACACTCAATTAAAAGCCATTTTCACAGCTTTCTCAAAACAGATTTCATTTAAATCCCGGTAGGAAAACAAGTTTTAATTTCCTGCTTTTTCGTAAAAGTGCCTGTTAATTTTGGTCTAGTGAATGTACCCTTCTATTCTCCTGAAGAAAAAAAAACAAGCCATTGGATTCAGCAAGGCCAGATAATTTAATCGACTTGGTTTATCAAACTGTGTACTGGGAAATAGCATCTAATACAATCCAAGTCACGCATTATCCAGTGCACTTGTGAATATAGAGGGGTCTTAATTATATTTCATAGCGCCGTGTGATGGGGAAGGTAATAATTTATCCTCAACATTACTATGCTGTTTTTTAACGTGTCTCTGCGGTTTTGCATGCAACGCGTAACTGCATCATCAATTTGAAGTTCACACATGCATATGCATGTCACCTGATGCTCTTTACTGACACATTTAAAAGATGTCCCTGCATAAGCAAAAAGAGTTTGTGTTTTGAGATTCTTAAACACCACCACCACCATCCAAAACTAAAGGGTCATGTAATTATAAATAGAATATGAAGTAGCAGATGGAAGCAATATCACACAAGACTGCTATTGTATCAAATAATCACAGCCATGAATGATAATCAGACAATCAGATTGTGAGTGTTGCAATATTGGTTTTATACAGTTAAAAAACGTTAAACTGGTTTTATAAGTTAAATAAACATGAAGGTAATATTGAGTAACTTGCATTTTAAATACAATATTACCTCTTAATTTGTGTATTTGCCAACATAGCTCTAAACGAAGAATCGTCTTTTTTTTTTTACCAATCAGTTGAGGAAAATATTCAGTGATTCACTCGATATAGTCACGTTTCATTCCTGAGCGAATCAGGGTTTTTAAACAAATCGATTCAGTTGAGTGTATAATTCAGTGAGTTCCTGAATCGGTTGATTGAATGATTCACTCATAAAGTCACTTATCACTGGTGCCTACTGGCACTAGAGAACGAGCACATGAGGTTTTGTACATTTATTTCATTATTTGTTGTGCCCTTAGTTGATGGAAATGCATGTCTTTTTGGATTCCAAAGGATTCCAGGTTATCAGCAACTATATTACACTACACATTACATTGCAAATGTATTTAATTTCATTTAATTTCATTTCTAGATTGTGATGCGTTACGATATGATCATTGGATGATTGCAACCAAAACTTTAGGAAACATACAGTAGACCTCAGTGTTTTACAGTTTACGCTTCTTTAAACAACTGCTTGTTAATATAATATAATATACATAACAGGGACTTAAAAGGAAGTATCAGTGTAATATTGTGCAATGTATAAAAAGTATGTCAAGTTAGACTTCTGTTTCATGCTTTTTATATAAAGATTTGTCATCATGGGTCAATTTTCACTTTCACATCATTATATTTCTATATAAGTATAGTACATTTTATATTGTTATGATAAATATTCAGGATAGCTGTATAACTTTTATATTGTGACAACAATGATGTTACTGTTTAGAATAATTGTTCATCATGGAAATAATGACTTCTGTTTCACTTATGGAATGATATAGAGCTTACTATACAGTTTTGTATCCTTTTAAAAAAAAGTTTTGAAACTATTTGCAAAAGTAAATATTTCATCTCATCTCATTATACTGTACGCTTGACAAAATTGCATGCATGTGACTTCTACTCAGCATATCGGAAATAAGAACTGTCATTTTACATTTTTATAAAGATTTGTCAGCATGGGTCTATGGTAACTTTCACATCTCTCAAGTTTGATGATGTGATGTGTACACATTTGAATATTATACAACGCTGGTATACGTGGGAGAGACACATTTGTGCCTGCAACCGCAAGAGTTGGCCTGTTTAAAGCACTTTAACTGTATAGCTACTCTGCATGGTATGTGCACGTGTGTCTGTCGAGTGAATTCCCTTATCGAGTATGTGCCATGTCTCCTGTGCCGTCTCCCTCTAGAAGGTGTAACATCTTGATTGAAAGTTGTCTGATACTGTCTGTCTGTTTCTGTCCTTGTCATTAGGGGCGCCATGATTGCTGACTACATTTACTGGCTGTCAGGAGGCAACAACCGGCACATAAGCAAGCTCATCAAACTGTATTGGCAGGTGAGGACGGATGGGCTGCTTGGTGCCCACTGCGGCCCAGGGCCCAATCAAAAGCTTACTGAATGATTATTGCTTAAAAGAGTGCCGACTGAGGTAAATCAGTGCGTATCAATCACAAAAATGTCTGTGTGTAAAACATCAGCGCCTTTGACGAGAAGGAACACTATTTAGTGTTGTGTAATGTTCTTTCTCCCTCATATACTGCACTCACACTCATTATTCCTGGTTTATAGCACAACAAACTCCTTTCATTTAAATCTGCAATGTAAATTCACTTTATTACAAATTTGAAGATAGTGGAGACTGTGGAAATATTCATTCTAATATAAGTGCTCTTAACTCAGGCTCTCTTTCTCATCTGAACTCAAGGGAAAAGCACTTTTTTCTAATTTACAGCGTATAAAATGAATACTTTTTGACCCTCCTAAAGTCAGTTGTATCTCCTGCAACCGTCTCAATTTGCATTTGCTTGAAGTGAGTTGAGTGTGGGGTTGCTCTCAGTGTACATCAAGCCCTCTCCTTTTTCATTTATCTATTTTTTTTTTACCGTTCCATTTTCATCCCTCATGGATTGCAGTTCAACTCGTGTGTTTATTTTGATGGCCCACAGTAAGGGTGAGCCTTTTCATCTTCTCGAACCGAACCTGCCCTGAGTTTTATTTATTCCTATTGAAAGGTTTTCACATACAATAGAAACACGTTCACCACTGATGCCATAGAAAATGTATGTGCTATTTTGACAAATGTAAACACTTTTAACAGTGTTTTCTACAGCATGTAGAAAAACGCAGCATCCTGCAGATGTTGTTGCTGTAAATTCAAACGATAAGTTACAACACAGATGTGTGAAAAGTGTCTTAGACATTGCCAACTTTGTTTCATGGTCAAATAGCTTAAATCCTTTCAAAGTGTTTCACAGAACTCAAATAGGTCACCATGGGTTCAAAACTGTTATTTATGTTTTTTTATGGGCTGCCGAGAGGAAGTGGTGCAAATTGAAAGATCCAACTGACCTTGGTTTGTATCAATCCCTCCTCTCTCTATCTTCTCTGCTAATGTCTCTATTGCTAAAATGACTTACTACCACAACATAAATACCATTCCTCTGATTCTCCCATGGTTTTCAAAACCTTCTCCTTTCTTCTTAACCCTTCTCCTTCTCCTCCTTCATCAACCCTAACAGCTGACAACTTTGCCACATTTTTCAAAAAATAAAACCACCACTATCAGCGGCCAATTTTCCACACCTCAATTTGACACATGCATCTTACCAGCACACATTCTCCCCTCCTTCTCTCAGCTCTCAGAGGCAGAAGTCTCAAAACTCATCCTTTCCACACATCCTACTACTGTTCTTGCACAGAACATCCTCCTGGACAACAACCAGTCTGGTTTCAAAAGCGGACACTAAACCGAGACTGTCCTGCTCTCAATATATACATTGAAGCTCTAGACTGGCAAGAATAGCTTACAAATCCTCAGTACTCATCTTGCTGGATCTGTCTACTGCTTTTGACACAGTTAACCACTAGATCCTCCTGTCAACCCTCAAGACAAAGAGCATCAGGAACCACACTCCAATTGTTCAAGTCTAACCCCTCAGGTAGGTCCTTCAGGGTGTCGTGGAGGGGTGAGGTGTCTAAGTCGCAACATCTAGCTAGGGGGTGCCTCAGGGCTCATTGCTTGGACCACCTCTCTTCTCCATCTACATGTCATCACTGATCTTTCATTCAGAAACATGGTTTTTCCTATTAATGCTATACTGATGACACACAACTCTCATTCCAACCAGAGCATCTATCGGTAGCTGCTCGCATCTCTGCTTGCCTGACAGACATTTCTTGCTGACAACCATCTTCAACTAAACCCTGCGAAACCCAACCTCAACACTACACCACAACTTCTCCATTCAGCTAAGTTCGTCAACCATAACTCCATCCAGGTCAGCTATAGGAACATTGGAGTTGTGATTGATGATCAGTTGAACTTCACAGACCACATTGCTAGAACTGCCCGGCCCTGCAGATTTGTTCTGTACAACATTAGGAGGATCAGGCCCTTCCTACCAGAGAATGCTACACAACTCCTTGTCCAAGCTCTTGTTCTATCCAGACTGGACTATTGTTATGCTCTCTTGGCAAGCCTTCCAGCATGCACTGTCAAACCTCTGCAACTGATCCAGAATGCTGCAGCTAGAGTGGTCCTTAACAAGCCGAAGAGAGCAAACGTCATACCTCTCCTCATAAACTTGCACTGGTTGCCAATCGCTGCTGCCATCAAATACAAGAAACTGATGTTTGCCTACAGAGCAACCACTGAATCTGCTCCCTATACCTAAACTCACTACTTTAGACCTATGTGCCCTCCAAAAGCTTGCGTTCTGCAAGTAAACAGCGCCTTGTGGTGCCGTCTCAAAGAGGCACAAAATCACTTTCACAGACCTTTACCTGGACTGTTCCCTGCTGGTGGCATGACCTGCCTAACTTAACCCGAGCTGCTAAGTTTTAGCCATTTTCAAGAAACTTATGAAGACGCATCTTTTTCGTCAACACTTGAACCCATTTATACTATTTTTTTTTTTTTAAACAAAAAAACCTTGCTACATGTACTGTGCTAAACTAACTAGGGACTGGTCACTGCACTTGCATATTGCTGCCCTATTGTTAGTTTGATTGCTTCAATTGCTCTCCTCATTTGTAACTTGCTTTGGATAAAAGTGTCTGCTTAATGATTCAATGTAAATGTAATTTATTTATGCTACTTACAGTGCCTTCATGCATTAACAATGTTTTCAAAGTTTCCCATCCAATGGTTTTTGTGAATACTAATAATAAAATTAGTCTCAACCTAAGTCCGTTCGCTGACTGTCTGATACAATACATGTACAAAAATCAACTGGCTGAAATATGATTGGCTGCTAAGTCTGGCTGCAACGTGGTTGGTCGCTTTTCACGTCAGGCCATTTTCATTTTCATTATTTCTGAAAATATACTGAAAATATAAAAAAAGATATTGATAATACATTACAATGCATTATAAGTGTTACCAAAATAATTTTTAATCAATTGAAATAAAGCTGAAATGAAATAAAATGTAAATACTAGATGAAAAACTTAAATGAGAAATGCTACCTTGGCAACTAACTCAAATAAAATAAATTGAAGTACAACTGTAAAATTACTTTAAAAAATAAGACTGAAATAAATTAAAGCTAAAAAGAAAATATAGAAAAAAAGCAAATTACTAAAACTTAAACTAAAATTCAAATGAAAATGTAAAATAAAATCTAATTCAAAATATTAATAAATACTATAATAGCATATAATAAAACTAAAATAACTGGTCTGTATGAGACTACATTTGTACTTGAAGCTGAATACAAAGTAAATTCAAAGTTTCTTTAAAAAATAAAAACTCTCTGTCTGTCCATCTAATTCAAAATGGCATGACTGTAGATAACGTAATGCAATATTGTCAAAGCTAGATAACATGCTATCATTTTCTATTTGATATATTATTGAAAAATTATTATAATTGTATGATATTCTGACAGGAGGTGACTGATTATCTCAAACAGTCACACACCAAAGGCTTGAATAAGAAATAAATCATAACTCTAAATAAGACCTGGCACACTTTTGATTTAATCACTTCTGTTTTTTTAAAAGTATAATTATGTTTTACTTAAAAATTATCAAAACCATATGCCAGTCTTACACAAGTGCCAAAACAAAATATAAAAGCTAAATTATCATCAGGCAGGAAATATAATAAAATCACATTGTGCATTTCAGTAACATTTCAGTAGGCATAAGTATTTATGATCTGATTATTTGTAAATTAAAAACAAATCCCTTTCTCTATTTCCTCTCACAGGGGCTCCTGGAGGAGGCGCTGATTACGGAGGAGAATTTCTCAGTCATGTTCACTCCCTGGTTTGGAAAGCCATCCTCAAACACGATCGAGAAAGCAGAGGAGGCCTTCCGGAAGCTTCACCCAGCCTTCACAGACTACATATTTACCGGTACGAGGAAATTAAGACACTCCGAATACATCGTCTGCTTATTAAATAGTAAGAAAAAAGACCTCCAACAATAAAGCACTCGAGTAGGAAGGCTTCAGGTTCACAGGCATTAGATTGTGTCTAACTAATAGGTTTGTCTAAGGCAGGTGTTGCCCTAGCAACAGGTTGTGAATTAGTGTGGTTTGTGGCGTGCGGGGATGTGAGGCAGCTCTCTTTGTTGTTCAAACACTGAGGCTTGAGCCGCTCACACAGGCAGGTCAAGAGCGCACCTTCATGTTTCAATTAGCCTGCATCTTTTTCAAACACCCCCATTATGAACAAATCTATAATCCAGCATTCGGTTTGTATATGTTATCGAAATCCTGACCTTAGACCTAAATTACTTCAAATTGCACACTTTGCGGCAATTTACCCAACCATTTACACCGTATACTGAATGCGTTATTATAGCTCTGGGTGATTGTATGCATGTTAGGTGAGCAGAGTTGTTAATTTAATTTGTAAATTAGTGTTGCCTTTGAGATTGTCAGTTGAGGTCATTGCATTGTAAGGCATGCAAGCAGAGTTTTTGCTAGGGAGAAACTGGACTTTTTTTAACAAATCGTTTGAGGGAATGTTTCAATGACTTAATAGTGTTGGTTTGTTTTGTTTCAGAATGAATCTGTGATTTTGAATGAATCACTGAATGAATGATTCAATGATTGACACATTAAGTCACTTGTTTCATTCATAAATTAATCTGTTTTTTTTTTTTAACTAATCACTTGAGTGAATTATTCACTGACTCATTCATGAAATTGCTCATTTGTTTTGTGTCTGAATGAATCTGTGTTTTTGAATGAATTAAATGAATGCTTCAATGATTCACTTATAAATACAGTCCCTTGTTTTGTTCCATACTGAATCAGTGTTTTTAAATGAATCGATTGACTTATTTTAGGACATATTCAACAAATCGGTCACTTGTTTATTTTTTGAACGAATTACTGTTTTTTAATGAAACAATTGAATAAATGTTTCAGTGATTCATTCATAAACCCAGTCACTTGTTTTGTTCATAAATTAATCACTGTTTTTTTTATCAAATTGTTTGAGTGAATTGGTTGAATTAATGAGTCAAATGGCTCACTCACAAAGGCAGTTTCTTGTGGTGTTCTTAAATAAATCAGTGGTTTTGAGAAAATCGAATCCCAGACAGCAACATAGATCCGGCACACATCTCTTATGTGTTGAATCCACATGTACCAGATGTGGTCCGGATCTGGGCCGACACTATGCTGCTGTCTGGGATGATTGATGAGTTGATTCAATTAATTGTTCATAAAGTCACCCACTTGTTTCATTTCTCAAAGAATTAGGGGCTGCTCACACGGAACGTGTTTTTTTTCCATTCCAATGCGTTACTTTTCCATTGTTTTTCTATGTAAACGCGCTAATCGGACGTGTATAACCGTTACGCTCGCATCTTTTCCAGCGTCTTGCACTCAAGTTAAAATCAGTTCAACTTT